GAAATTATATCTTAGTGTGTTTATTTTTGTAAATATATTTATTTATCTATATTATAATTTTCCGATGTCCTCACTACGTCATCGTGACGTCATGTCATCGCTATGTCATCGTTACGTCATGTCATCGGTACGTATTTATTTTATTTATTTATTTTATACAAACAGATGATCCTATAACTAAAATTTTCTATTCAACTGTAGGAGGCCATATTAAAACCAAAAAGTACAATATTTACTATTGTTGATTTTATCTATTTATTTTATACAAACAGATGATCCTATAACTTAAATTTTCTATGCAACTGTAGGAGGCCATATTAAAACCCAAAAGTAATACATTATATTTATTAAATATTACAAATTATTAATATTTTATATCTCTAGCCTTGGGAAATTTTTTTCAAAATTAATGCAACTGCACAATATTAGGAAGCATATAATTAAGGTAGCATATAATTATAAAAAAGTTTATCAAGCCCAGCTCAACCCTTAATAATTTGTAAAAGATATTCCCATGTCCATTGATCAAGTCTTGAGTTTATACTAATGTTTATACATAGGAAAGTAATACATTATTTACTAAATATTACAAATTATTAAGAAAGCCCATCAAAAATGACAGGGAATGAGATTTTTATTCATTTTTTACGATAGAGTCATGCCAGGTCCAAGCTCACAATATTAGGAAGCATATAATCATAAAAAAGTTTATCAAGCCCAGCTCAACCCTTAATAATTTGTAAAAGATATTCCCATGACAGGTGCAAGCTAATATTAATTTTGAGGTTCCATGCCCAGTCGTATCCAATATAATTTTGAAAATTTTTCCCCACCTCGGAGATAGTTAAATTTTTAATTGATTTATCATCACATGAAGGGTAAATATCTGATTTACCCATTAGTTTAAAATGTAAAAAAAAACATAAATAATATTAGGGCAGACCTTATTTTGTCATGATTCTCTGATAAGTGCTTTGTTCAGGCTTTCTCAGTTTCCCTTATAACCAATTCACTTGATTTTTTCCAAAATTAGTGCAACTGTAGAAGGCCATATTAAAACCAATTGTCAAAGTAATACATTATTTACTAAATATTACAAATTATTAATATTTTTAGCATTTTTTTTTACTTAACATAAAATATAGACAAATAATTTGGGAAATGCAAGACATACATTAAATTTATCCGAAAAGCTACAATAACCCTATAAAATAATTTAATATTTGTTGATTATCAGAATTTAAATCATTAACAATCATATCTCCTGCTGTGGGATACTGAAAAAAATCGGATATTAAATTATTGGTTTTTTTCACAGGTTAATTTACACTCATTGAAGACTTTGATAATTTCTCAACTAATCTTTGTATTAATTGTTTTTTTTATTAAAATTTTCATCCATTTGCAACCATGTCCGATCTAGTTTAAAAAAAGAATGAAGCATAGTTGCTAAAATATTTTCATCTTCAAAAATTGTCCCAATAAACCTAGAATTATTAAATACTGATTAATTTATTATTAATTTACCTATTTTCAATTCCTTTAAGTAAGGCATTTAAGGGTGGTAAACAAAATTTCAGGTTCATTTGTTTAAACTTTTTCAATTTAATAATGAGCTGGGAAATATGTTTACCGGCGATAGGCACTCCAACAATCACCTGTTGTGCATATTAACTATGGTTCTATTAGACTTTTAATAATTTCTTTTTTTTCATTCTCCCATCTTTGGGAAATTCTAGCAACCACTGTCTGTCTGCAAATTATATTTTTTTTGTGGAGCTAATTTTTGATCATTTTTATAAATGATGGATTTTCAACAATTGAAAATGGCTGAATGCTATCTATAATAAAATCATATATTAAATCATCTAAAATGGTTTGGGTTAAAGTCTGAGGTCTCTTGAAAAAAAATCAATGGACGATGAGCCTAGTCCAATATTTTCTTTAATAGATTTTTTCTCCTTCCCCTTTTTTATTTGGATTAAGAGTGTTTGATGTTTTCTCTTAAAATTTAAAATGTAAACATTTATTTAGTATCTATACCCTTAAATATTTTACAATGTTACAAGTTGAGGTAATGCTAACTGAAATATTCATATTTTTTGGACATGACAAACATTTTACTAACAGAGATTTGTTTTCTTTATTTTGAGATATTATTTTAAAATATGGTCTATAAATTGGCCATGGAATGTCGTCATTTTCGTCATCAATATTAATCTTAAAAATTAATATAATAGAATAAAATAAAATACCAATTCCATTACAAATAAAAATGGTAAATTCCTTGAGATGGATTGTAATATCAGAATTTGCTTGTTATTGATAACTCGGATATAATATTTAATTAATATTTATATATTCTTTTTTATATATGTTTTAATATTTTACATATCTATATTATAATTTTCTGATGTCCTCACTACGTCATTGTGACGTCATGTCATCGCTACGTATTTATCTATTTTTATTAATTAATTTATTTTTTATAAAAACAAGACTCAAATAAAAAGCAACTATTATATCCTGGTAAATAATATTTATAATTTATAAAAAAATTTATTTATTTACTTTTTTTATAGGTGAAATATTTTGGAAGAAAATCCAAGAAAGCAACTATAATCCTGGTAAATAATATTTTTAATTTATGATATCAAAAATTAAATATAATTCAATTATTAATTCAACCCATATTCATCTTGAGAAGAAAGGGTAAATAATATTTTTTATTTATAAAAATGAGTTTTTACAAATCAAACAATCATACACCCTTATTTTCCAAAAAATGAGTTTTTACAAGGGCTAATATCATAAAATAAATATTATTCAATTCTTAATTCAACTCATATTCAAGTAAATTAAATTATAAATGCTTATATTTTTTTTACATTTAGAATACATCTATTTTAGCTTCTGATGATATTCCCACTCTCTATAGAGAGTTGAACCTAATATTGATTCCTCTTCAGGTTAAATATATTAATATTTTTAAAATTATTCTTATGTACAAGCCCTGTCTTAACCTCTCTTAATGATTGTACAGATGCTGATTAAGCAACTATTATCCTGGTAAATTATTATTTTTTATTTATTAAAATGAGTTTTTACAAGGGTTGATATCAAAAAATAAATATCATTTAATTATAAATTCAGCCCATATTTATTTTGAAGAAAAGCAAAGTAAGGGTAAATAATATTTTTAATTTATAAAAATGAGTTTTTACAAATCAAACAATCATCATACACCCTTAGTTCACAAAAAGTACAACATCAATAATTTAAACTTTCCCATTCCAGCTACACACATTCAAAATTATTATAAATATTTATGAAAATAGTTTCAAAACACAAAAGATTAACCCTACCTATTTTTAAACAAAAATGTGGTATAAAACAAGAATGTGCCACCCCCCCCCCCCATTTTCAATCTAATAATTAGTGACATCACAAATACCAGTAACCTACAAAATGTAGACTGGCTATGCTACGCCGATAACATATATATCATTATTGAAGATGTCGCTAACATGAATTATTTTAACAATAGTCTCAAATAATATGTGAAAAATCAGCCTGATAAAAAATTTAAAAAAACTATTCTATTCTATTTTCCTTTCCTTTTAATTTCTTTTATTATCTTCACCTTTCTCAAACTTTTTAATTTCCTATTTCTTTTTCTTTAGCTTCCTTTCCCTTTAATTTCCCTTTTTTCTTTCCATTTACAATATTTAGTATGATATTTTTTATAATTTAAATAAATTTATATATCTATTTTAAACATCCTACGTATTTTTAAAGCTATTCATTTTGTCGGGCCGCACAATATGCCCTTTTATCTCTGATGAATATTTTGTCTAACTAACAGTAAAATATTCAAAGTACATTATTTTTAGCATTTAACTAAATTAATATATCAATTTTTAAGGATCCTACTTTTTAAAAGCTTGCCTTTTGTCAGATCCACAATTGCTCTATTCTCCATGCTGATTATTTTGTATATCTCACCAAAAAATAAGTACATTATTTTTATTATAAATAATATTATATAGGATTTTATATCTATCCAAAAAATCGATATATCTATTACAATATTTTTTTTATTCAATTAAAATTATATATTTATTCTTAAGGATCCTACCTTTTTAACAATACTCCTTTTTATTCTTACTAATTTTTTGGTTTAACTCAATAAAAAAGACAAAACAGGGTTTTCTATCTTTAGGATTTTACATTTATTCCATAACAAAATACATACTACGGTATTTATATTAATTAAATTATTCTATATCTATTCACAAGGTTCCTATTTTTTTTAATTTGCCAATTGAACTCTCCAAATGGTATTTTATTTTAATCCTACCTTATAAAATTAACTTGAGAATTGTTTTGTTTTTACTTTAGTTAACTATCCCCATCTTATTTCCTCTTTATAATTGTTCAGATATTGATATATCAGTCATTAATAATGAACAAATGCAAAATAAACCTTTAGAAGAACATGATAGGCTTGATAAGTCCCCCAAAAATTTTTTTTGATTATAGCCCCCCAACTACTAGAAATATACTTTTATCCTCTACAGGTTTACAGTATTTTAATGTTTGTTTAATTTAAACAATAGTTTATTTATATTTATGGCTCATTTCTTTATTTGTCTAGGCTAACCCAATCTTAATCCCTCACATTGTTACAAAACATGATGAATCTATTATTAAAGATAATCAAAGAAAAAAATGGCGATTCAACAAACGCCTTACCCGTTCTAGAATCAGTGACCCCTACACTTTTTGAGGGATAGAAGCAGAATACCCCCCTAAAGTACCCCCCCCCTATTGTAAATTATTTTTTGACACCAATAAATTTCAAAAATAATTTTTATTGCATCAATATTTATTATAATATAAATATAATGTAAAAAATATATGCTTTAAAAATATTATTTTTAAATTAATAATTTAGATAAATTAGGGGAAGAGAAAGCAAAAGAATTTATAATTTCATCAATATTTAATTGTTTAAATAAATTATTTTCCATTGATAAAATGGTTAAATTATTAAGAAATGGATCTTTCATGACACTACGAAGTCTTGTTTTAATTTTACTCATGACCCTTTCGGCAGTACATGATGTAGTAGGAATAGTTAATAAATATTTATATAAAATTGTTAAATTTGGGAAAGCAGAAAAATTTATAAGCAGACGATAAGGTAAAATAAATGAATAGTTTCTCCAGTCTGAATCATTCATCTCAGAATTATTATCATCATCAGAAGAAGCTAAATAATGTATTAGTAAAAATATCTTAATTAAATAAATTTACAATTCTCAGAATCTGACAAATCTTCTTTAACCTCTAGGTCACGAGTAATAATTACGTCCCCCGTTTTAGCCATTTTATAAATATTTCTAAACATCAACATTTCCTCAAAAACTTGACTTGTATTTAATTGATAAAATTCACAGATATCCTTGATATCATCTTTAACAATTGCCTTTTCCGCCATTCCCTTTGGGGTAAAAAATGATGTTTGACTCAAAAATTTTATCGATTCATCGTTAAATCTTTCACTAAACTGCATATCAAGTGCAGCATAAAACACACTGATTTTAAAGCTAAAATAAAATATTATATTTAATGATGAAAGTATATATATACCTCTCCTTTTTGGATTGTAATGTTTGAAGTCTTGAACTTTCAAAATCAAAAGGTAAATTTCTCTTCTTTATAAAATCTTGGGCCTTTGAAAAGACATCCAAAAATTCAGTGTTATTATCAATTTTAGGATTGTAAAATAATAAAAGATAATAATTTAAATTATACTTCTCATATTAATCAGGCAATCTTTTGCCAATTGAATTTGATTTATTGCAAACCCTATATCCTTCGAAATGGTTTGCAATTTTGTACAAGCCAAGCTTGTTATCAACAATATTTTATCCAAAACACATAGTGATAAAATAAAATAAAATTTTTCTATTCTATAGACTATAGCACTAGCCATAGTGGAAGTGGCAGGATCTTCAGAATCCTTTAAATTTGCCAAAGCTGCCCTCAAAGCATCATAAAGTTGAAAAAAATTTACAATCGCCTTATATGATGTTAGCCAGCTTCTATAAATATAAAATAAACATTATATATCAAAACAATTAAGATAATATTACCGAGTGGTATTCTTGATGCGTAAAAATCTATGTGATTTTGTCAGTAAATCACTCTGACATGTTTTGAGCACTTCATATCTTTTAACATCATTAAAATATACGTAAATTTCGTCTAATATTCCCAAGACATTTCGCAGCTCTTTTACTGATTGGCATAATTGAACAACTATTAAATTTAATCGATGACAATAGCACCAAATAAAAGCTGCCTTTGGCGCCTCCGCTCTAATCAAAGCCTGCACTCCATTAATTCTTCCACTCATGTTTGAGGTGCCATCATAGCTTTGGCCACTAGGAATTCGAGGGGTAGATATATGGAGCCAAGCTTGGATATTATATTCTTTTTAATATCGAGGCCCGTTGTATTTCCCGTACAATAAATGTCTAATCAGCCTTTCAACGGGCTTAGGTGTCTCGCTATTTTCAACATATCTCACTATCAAAGCTATTGCTTCTGATTTCGATACATCATATGTGCCATCAACTATAATTGAATAGCACCTGTTGAATTCAATCTCCTTTTGAATTTTTTTTATAACCATATTTTTCATGGTTTCAATAAGAATTTTTATGTTATTATATGATAACAGATTTGAATATAATTTAGATTTTAATCCCTTAATTTTTTTCTCACTTCTTCTTTCTTCATTATCTTGTATATACATTTTAAGAACAGGCTAGAATCTGCAATAAGTTTAATAAGGCTCATCATATTGCCATCTTAATTTTTAATCAAGCATTTATATTTTTTTTGGTTAATATTTTTGGGCATATTTTGACAATGATCTAGAAATTATAAATGAATATATATAAGATTAATTAAATTTTTACTATTCCCTTTGATAAAATTTTAATTTTGCGCCAAATCTTGAAAGTGGAAAAATAATTTTATGATAAGAAATATCGGATAACAAACTAATTTGCTAAACATCGACCATAAAAATTTTTAAAAAAATAAATAAAAAATTTTAAAAAAAAAAGTACCCCCATAGAAATTTATAGAAGCAGTTGCTTCGGACCCCCCCCCCCGTTGTAGGGGTCACTGTCTAGAATTACTGGTGGCCAAGATAATAAGGAACTGTGAACTCCTCTGGGGGTTTATTTTGTTTTTTTATCTAATATTTTATATCTATATGTTTATTTTATATTCATCCAGTTGCCTCCAAATGATATTTCTATCACTACTACCAAAATCCCTATGCCACCTCTGCCTAATTTTAAATAAATATAAGCATTTAATTCCACTATCATTCACCCCACTAGGAGTTAACATAAATAATACTTTATCCGATTCCCTGAGGAACTTTCATGAATATTTAGAGGGATGTTCAAACGTGAATGTGTAGTGCGTTTCATTAACATTATTAATGGGAAAATATGCGGTATTTTTGTCATAGCCTTTATAACAATACTTACGACCGTTTTATGGTTGAGTTAACAATGTCGTTCATGATTCTATTTTAGAGGGGGATACCAAAACTGACACTTTGGCAGAAATATCATTTTGCGTTCTTCTTTTACCAGTAGCCCAAAGCCTCAGCTTTATCATGACGCAATGGGTGTTGTACACCTTTGATCCGTCATTATTCATTACTTTCACCTACAACCCTAAATGGGATGATATTATACATTAATTATTTCCTCTGCAGACGACTTCCCAGATTTATTTTGTCGCTTTTTCCATCAAAAATTAAAATGTCATAAAGGATTTGTTCTTAATTTTATCAGACACACAAAATAATAATTAATCCTCATCATTTTGTTAAAAAAATTACCTAAATTTATATGGCAAGAAAAACAAATTTCTTAAAAAATATATAAATAAATTGCATATAAGTTTCATTAGCATTGAATGGAATTTTTGTAATTTAAATAGATAGCATTTTTTTGTACTTAACATAAAGATATAGATAGCCCTTATCAAATTTTTTGATAAAAGGAGTTTACCCACTAATTGGTAAATCCGAGATTTCCCCTTCATGTGATGATATTTAGAAATATAACTATCTCCGGGTTTGGGAAAAAGTTTTGAAAATTAATATGGGTTGGATTGGGCTTGGAAAATATTCCTCAAGATTAATATTTACTTGCACCTGACTTGGGAATATCTTATACAAATTATTATGGGCCGAGCTAGGAAAAAATTTTCAAAATTATTATGGGTTGAGCTAGGCTTGAGAATTTTTTTTAAAAATTATAAGGTCTTGGACACTTGGAAATTTTTTCCAAATATTATGAGCTTGGACCTGGCTTGAAACTTTATAATGTTAAATGTTAGTCTTATGTAATCAGTAATATATTTACAAAGAATTTTGATATTGGGTAAAAGCTCATTTAAATATATTTTGACTCAAAAAATAGTTTCCACTCTTAGTCCTAATGGGTTTGACTCAATGACATTGGTTGGACTTGACCTAAATGGGGAGGGGGGGGGGTTTAAAAATAATTTAAATTGGATATGATTTTTAAATAAAAGGTAACATCTTTCTTAAAAAAACGAATAAAATTCTCATTCTCCGTCATTTTTGACGGGCTATCTACTAGTATATATAATTTTTTAATATATATATTAATATTAATTTATATGCTTATATGAAATAAAATAAATTTTACACTCAAGTATTTTTATTTATAATATAAAAAAAGCGTTAAATAAAAGTATATCAAAATGTATCTTCAAAGTATCTAAAAATTAATACAGATACCTCTAAGATAATATCTAGATACAGATACTTTAATCAAAAATTTATCTAGATACAGATACCACATTTTTGTATCTAGATACTTTAACAACTCTGAAAATAATTATCAGTATCATTGAAATCAGTATAATATTATTTTATTATATAATTAATTTAACCTGAACGTGATAATTAAGCGCCAAGCCCTATATTGTTATATACAAACACACTAAAAATGATAAAATATGAAAATAAATGATGTAGATTTATTATTGGATAAAAATAAAACAGGATAAAAAGAAATTTACAAACTAGACATGTTTTTCAAATAAATATTTAACATTTATTTAAAAATATAAAAATAATCAATTACTGTCTCTCAAAATTATTGTTTATACAATAAAATCGTTAAAATACTAAAAAGAAATTGTGCGGGAGATATTAAAAAATTGCTGTAGATTTTTGCGGGAGTAAGATGTCTGCGTGTAGACTAAAAAATTGCGGGAGTCTCCCGCTGATGGGGGAGACATGGCAACCCTGTTAATAGATATTAATTATATTCACAAGCAATTGCAATCAAGTGTTAAAAATGGAATATCAATATCACACATAATGTCTAAATATCTATCTAATTACGATCACTGCAATAATTCTAACAAAATAGATTCTTTATAATGCTGAATGATTAATGTTTGTCTATATTTGTTATCCATGAAATACAAATAAATACTTCTTATACTTTTTTGTACTATGATCAATTAAAATTATATTTAGAAAATAAATTGTTGTTTATTATATTGATTTATTGTTGTTTTTCAGATAAATTTGGTATATATATGTCTTGCCTTTTCTAAATTATTAATCAAAGAATTTGATAAGGGCTATATCTATATGTTAAGTAACAAAAAATGCTATCTATAAAAATTACAAAAATGCCCTTCAATATTAATGAAACTTAATTGCAATTTATTTATATATTTTTAAGGAATTTGTTTTTCTTGTCAATCCATATAAATCTAGTCTAATTTTTGTAAAAAATGATGGGGATCTGTTAAAATTTAGAACAAATCCTTTTTGACATTTTAATTTTTGATAAAAAAAGCGACAAACGATGTGGAGTCTGATGTGGAAATAATTCACCCATATTTTCATTTTATTTAGGGTTGCAGGTGAAAATAATGAATAATGGCGTCTTACCAAAGCAGCGCACAATAGCCATTACGTCCCGAAAAAGCTGATGCATATGCCTTGGGCCAAGGTAAGAAGAAAGAAAAAGTAAGATGGAAAGAAAGAAAGAAGAAAAAATAAGGGAAAGAATGAGATAGAAAATATAAAGGGAAGTGTAAAGTGACACAGCAAAGAAAAATGTGAAGGGAAGGAAAAGGGAAAATGAAAGAAGAAGGAAAGTAATAAAAAGGAAGAGGGAATAAAGAAAAGGGAGAAGGGTAAAAAGGCAAAGAAGAAAGAAAATGCAAGGTAAAGCAAAGGAAATAGAAGAAAAAGCAAAGAAATAGCAAAAAAAAAAGCAAAAAGAAAAGAAAAAGTGAAAGAAAAAAGAAAGTAAAGGAAAAAGTGGAGATATAGGAAGAGCGAAAGAAAGATGAAAAGACAACCGGAAATAAAAGTGAAAATGAAAGAAAAAGGAAGGTAATGGAAAAGAAAAGGATAATATGATATGAAAAAGGGAAACAAAAAGAAGGGAAAGAAAAAGGGGGGAGAAGGGAAAAAAGGAAATGGGGTTAGAAAAAAAGAATGGAAAGTGAAATAATATAGTAGAGAAAAGGGGAAAGTGAAAGAATAAATAAAAAAAGAAAAAGTGAAAGAATGAAAAGAAAAAGGGGAAAGGAAAGAAAAAGGATAAGGAAAAGAAAGAGCAAAAAGAAAAAGAAAAGGAGGAAAAAAAATGTAAAAGGAAAGAAAAAGATAAAGGAAAAAAAGAAAGGAGAATGAGAATGAGAAGGAAAAGAAAATGGGAAAGGAGAAAGGAAAGAAAATTTGGAAAGGAGCAGGGAGAGGAAAAGTGAGAAAAGAAAAGGGGAAAGCAAAAGGTTAATGAAAAAAGGGAAAGTGAGAGAAGAAAATAGATAAAAAAAAAAGGAAAATGAAAAGAAAAAGAAAAAGGGGGAGTAAAGAAAAAGGGGAAAGGAAAGAAAAAGTGGAGCTAAAGGAAAAGCGAAAGAAGCGGAAAGGAAAATGAAAGTATAGGAAGGTAATGGAAGAAAAAGGAAAATATGAAATGAAAAGGGGAAAGAATAAGGGGGGAGAAGGGAAATGAGGTGAGAAAAAATGGAAGGAAAACGGGATAATGGAAAGTGAAATAAAAAATAGAGAAAAAGGGAAAGTGAAAGAAAAATGAAAAGAAAAGAATAAAAAGGAAGGAAAAAAAGAGTAAGGAAAATAAATAGCAAGGAAAAGAAGGGAAAGGAGGGAAAAAATGTAAAAGGAAAGAAAAAGAGAAAGGAAAATGATAAGGAAAAGAAAGGGAAAGGAAAATGATAAGGAAAAGAAATGGGAAAGGATAAAGGAAAAAAAATATGGAAAAGAGCAGGGAGAAGAAAAGGGGAAAAGGAAAGATAAGGGAAAAGCAAAAGGTTAAGGAAAAGAAAAGGACAATAAAGAAAAGAAAGGGAGATGGGTAGGGGTAGGATTGTTAAAAAGTCTGATTTGAAAATTACCCTATTAAGATTTTAACCAAAATAATATATAAGACTGAAGATTTTGCTCGTAGATGGCAGAAATGTTTTAATCTATTTTTCCAAATCTTGAGGCTTACATAATATAATTTTGTATAAAATCTTAATAGGATCATTTTCATAAATCGAGCTAAATCAGCATCTAATAACCCTATAAAAATTGAAAGATAAAGAAAAAGGGGAGAAAAAGAACAGTGAAAGAGGAGAAAAAGAACAGTGAAAGGGGAAAAAAAGGAAGGGAAAGAATAAATAGAACTATTATTATTTATATTAAAATAAAACCTGTAGAGGAGTAAATAAGTGCACTTTTATAGTAATAGAGGTGCTAGTATTAATACACTTTAGAGAGCATATCCATTGTCTGGTATAACTATCATGTGAGAACGAGGTTTAAATGGATGATAAGTTTAGATAAATATTATATTTAAAATTTAAATATATTATCAATAGAATATAAATAATAGTAACATAAATAAATATTAATTCATTCTTTATTTTATATAAAATATTATTTATTATGATAGTATATACATATCATGAATTATTAATTTTAAAAAAATATATATATATTATTCTAGTATTTACCTTATTTTATCATCTATACATATATTTTTTAACTATATCTAAAAGAGGGGCTGAGTTTTAAATAATCATAAGTAATAATGCGTAGCAAGTTACTTTATTATTATAGTATACATATCTTGAATTATTAATTAAAAAAAAATAAATATTATTCTTGTATTTACCTTATTTTATCATCTATACAATAATTTTTAACTAAATTTAAAAGGGGGATGAGTTTTAAATAATCATAAGTAATAATGAATGAGTAGCAGGTTAAATATATTAATTTTAATAAATACTTCAAAACTAGTAGATAGCCCGTCAAAAATGACGGAGAATGAGAATTTTATTCGTTTTTTTAAGAAAGATGTTACCTTTTATTTAAAAATCATATCCAATTTATATAATCTGAGGAGAAGAACGCGAAATGATATTTCTGCCAAAGTGTCAATTTTGGTATACCCCTCTAAAATAGAATCATGAACGACATTGTCAACTCAACCATAAAACGGTCGTAGGTATTGTTATAAAGGCCATGACAAAACTATCGCATATTTTCCCATTAATAATGTTAATGAAATTGGCTGCACTACACATTCACGTTTGAACATCTCTCTAAATATTCATGAAAGTTCCTCAGTGAATCGGATAAAGTATTATTTATAATAACTCCTAATGAGGTGAATGATAGTGGAATTAAATGCTTATATTTGTTAAAAATTAGGTAGAGGTGGCATAGGGATTGTGTTAGTGGTGATAGAAATATCATTGGAGGCAACTGGGTGTATAAAATAAACAGATAGATATAAAACATTAGATAAAAAACAAAATAAACCTCCAGAGGAGTTCACAGTGCCTTTATCTTGGCCACCAGTAACTCTAGAACGGGTAAGGCGTTTGTTGAATCGCCATTTTTTCCTTTGCTTATCTTTAATAATAGATTCATCATGTTTGGTAATGTGAGGGATTAGGGTTAGCCTAGACAAATAAAGAAATCAGGCAAAAATATAAATATACTATTGTTGAAATTAAACAAACATTAAAATAATGTAAAACCGGTAGAAGGGTCAATATTAGATGCATATTTCTAATAAGTTGGAGGGCTATCATCAAATAAAATTTTTGGGGGACTTATCAAGTCTATTATGATATTATAAAAGTTAAAAAATAACATGATAAATGTAATGTTATTAAGATAAAGGTTAATTAATTGTAAGGTAATTAAAAAATTAGATTAAAAAAGGGGGGAAAAAGAAGGTATAAATTATTATATTATATTATATAAATTAAAGGTGATAAGGTTTTGAGATATAGTGGTTAATAGATAATAGAGATAGAAAGAAAAGAATGAGATAATAAAATTTAGTGATAAATAAAAATGTTTATTTTTGTTAAAAAATAGGTGGAGGTGGCATAGGGATTGTCATAGTGGTGATAGAAATATCATTTGGAGAACTGGGTGAAAATAAAATAAACATAGATATAAAACATAAGATAAAAAAAACCTCCAGATGAGTTCATTTCAAGCGTAGTTCTTTATTATTTTGTCTACCAGTAACTCTAGAACGGGTAAGGCGTTTGTTTATTCGTCATTATTTTCTTTGCTTATCTTTAATAATAGAATCATCATGTTTTGTAGCAATGTAAGGGAATAAGGTTGGGTTAGCCTAGACAAATAAAAAAATCAGGCAAAAATATAAATAAACATTATTATTGAAATAAAATGAAGATTTTTTGGAATAGATATAAAATAATATATAATATTATTTATAATAAAAATAATGTACTATGTATATTTTTTTGTGCGTTATACAAAATAATCAGCAGGGATAATAGAGCAATGGTGGATCCGACAAAATGGTAAGCTTTTAAAAAAGTAGGATCCTTAAAAATTGTTATATTCATTTAGTTAAATTTTAAAAATGTACTTTGATATAATTTTCAATTAGACAAAATATTCATCAGAGATAAAAGGGCATATTGAGCGGCCTGACAAAAGGATGCTTAAATAATATAAAATTGTTTAAATTATAAAATAATATCATACTAAGTAATGTTCATTCTTATTCGTATAAACCGGGATTAATCGGATATAACCTCATGATATACCACATTGGTAGTAGTCTTTGTTTTATCATTGGTTATAATCTTTAATTTATGAGGAGAACAAACTTGAGACATAGCCACATATAGCTGTCCATGTGAAAAAACAGGATGAGGTAAATAGATGCCAACTTTGTTCAACGTTTGTCCCTGAGCTTTATTAATTGTCATGACAAAAGCAGGTCTCACGGGAAATTGGCAGCGCTTAAAGGAAAATGGCAAGCCAGAATCTGTAGGAATTAAACTTATTCTAGGAATGAGAACTTTAGTACTGAGAAAACTACCAGAAAGAAATTCCGCCTCAATTATATTTGGTAGCAAAGAAGTTATAATCAATTTAGTCCCATTATTCAAACCAGAAGCAGAATTTAAGTTACGCATTAATATTATAGGTACCCCGACTTTGAGTAAAAGTTTGTGAGGTGGTAATCCTGATATACTTAAAGAGTTTAAAAATTCAGTGGGATAAAACGTCGCTTCATCCTCGGTTATGGTTTCATCAGCCCTTATGTATGTAATTATATCTCCCGGAATTTTGTTAATCAATTTAATATTTATAGAATCGACATCTACGTTTTTAGGAGTCAGGATTGCATTTTGAGCAAATGATGTTCGGTTAAATGATGAATTGTCTTTGTCTATATCGTAAACAAAAGCAATAAGATCCTCGATATCATTGGAAGCTATACAACAATCTTGAGGAATTTTTATTTCACAGCCTTCACCAACTCTTAAAAGAAATTTTGAGTATTCATTATTAATAAAATAATCATTTGCTTCCTGAAATTGTAGAAGTCTCATATTAATACATAACCTTAATGGCACTATATGTGACCATAAATAGGATCGTTTTAAGGTTGAGTTAACAATGTCGCATCTTCCACCACGTTTAATAACAGGTAAAATCTGTCTAAAATCTCCGCCAAAAATAATAATTTTACCACCAAACGGTTTGTCTAATTTCATTATATCCTGAAATGACCTATCCACGGCCTCGAATATATGTTTATGAGTCATTGATATTTCGTCCCATATTATAATTACCGATTGTCTTATCAATTCAGCTATTTGGCTTTGGTAAGGAATATTACATGAGGAACTTTCATGAATACTTAAGGGGATGTTGAAACGTGAATGTGCAGTACGGCCATTATGAAGAAGAGTTGAAGCTATGCCAGAAGATGCAACAGCTATAGCAATTTTACCTTGAGCTCTCAAGTTAAATAATATTGTATTTAATAGAAATGATTTTCCAGTACCACCAGGACCATCTATAAAAAATAAATTATGGGATGGAGTGGAGGGCAAGGACATAATTTTGGCATAGATAATATTTTGATCCCGATTAAATAAATTGTAGTTAGCCAAATATTTTTTATACATATCATCAGTATCGTAGGAAATTTCCTCCCGAATAAGGTGACACCTAATATTAGCTGTAGCAGATGGAGATTGGGTGGATAATAAAGGGATAGGCATTCCCAAAAAATCCTTAAGAGATTTACCATTTTGAATCAAAATTTGATTGATGTGGCATAGCGCGAGATTTTCGGTGATAAGGTTATCCGGCTCTGGTGATATTTTCTTGGAAAAATCTTCACAAAGATAAAATTTAAAAGAATTCCAAAGACCTAGAGGATCTCTCGGCTCACAATGTAATAAAATAACAGAAAATAACTGGCGCAATTGATATGGCATCTTAAATGAAAGACCTTCCTCTAAACAATGGTTCCATTCCGCATCATCTGATAGCAGACCACGTCGAATACATGCATCTTTAAAAGTGTTACTGATAATTCCATTAAAAGAGCGTAGATCTTCAAAGCATGTAGGCCCAGTAACATAATTAAGTAATAGTCTTAAATAAAAAACCTCACCCTCTTTAGGAGAAACTGTGCGTATACGGCCTATAACTTTATTACCACCCCTTTTTCGTTTTAACCACTGTTTAGATAGAGGTTTCCACACATAATATCTTACAAAATCTGCATAAATATAATGTCTGGCATCTGTGTCAAGTTGATTAATTTTAAACCATTCGGTTAATTTTGTACCAGGATTTTTAGTTAAGATATTATTTATATCAGTATTTGATTGAAAAAGGATTATATGTTGATTGGGTAGATGAAGGTCTAAACGATAGACTGCAGGAGAATGATCCTGCATTTCAAAATCTAAAGTACGCCATAGCGATTCTATGGCGGATATATATCGAGCATCAATGAACTGGGAAGTTTCATCAACATTATTAATGGAAACGGAAGCAGTAGTTCTGTCATGGCCTTTGTAACAAAACTTATAAAGGTATTTTATGGACTGGACAGATGAACAAATTTCTACATTTATATGTGCATTATATTTTTTTGATAAATGTTTATTATAAGGAATAATCCAACGGTTGTTAAATATAAATCCGCTTAATTTTTTTTTGGAAGGTAACGCCATCATTTCGTGGCCTATATAAAGGATAACCATACTTATCGATAGAAGAGGTATCCACAAATGATTTAGGATATTTTTTTGAGCATTTTCCATCAATCATGCAGGGACTATTAGGAAATGTTATACCACATGGCCCATGTGTATTAAAATTGCTAATAATTTGAAACAGCTTAGGCTCAGTTATTTTGTTAGGAATTTCAGAACAAACTACATCATCATAAGTATCAGCCGTTGGTAGCCTATGAGTTTTATCTAGTATAAGGCACATATGACAATGAGGCAAACCTCTTTTCTGGAATTCTATGACATCTATATAAGCGATTACTTTGCCAAGAACATGATAATAGAGCAAATCCTTTTTTAGACATTTTAATTTTTGACGAAAAACGCGACAAACTAAATCTGGGGGGTCGTTTGGGGTCTGATGAGGAAATAATTCACGCATTATTTCATCCCATTTAGGGTTGCAGGTGAAAGTAATGAATAATGATGGTTTACCAAAGCAGCGTACAATAGCCATTGCGCCCTGATAAAGCTGATGCATATGCCTTGGGCCACCGGTAAAAGAAGAAGGCAAAATTATTCTTCTACCAAGATTGTCAGCATTAGTATCTCCCTCTAAAATAGCATCATGTATGCCTTGATAGAGTTCGGCGCGTAATTTGGATTGATTATTACGTATAAAATTTAATCGAAGCGTTTCCTGTTTGGCATAACTGTCGACAATAAATTGGTGAAAAAGACGTTTGGATCTTAAAATAACATTCTAATCATCCTGCCTGACCATAAAGCGATAGGCATAGTACTCTCTGCAGGTAACATATTTATTAGTTGAGTTTCTATAATGAATGGATGGATGGTATCCAATATCGCCTCTGGGAAATAGAAGAACATATTGCAAGGGATCGTATGAGGAATGGAGCTCATTAATACGTCTTAAAGGACCAGATAGAGTTTTTAAGATAATATCTCTATGGGCTACATGATCACTGCCATCACCAGGTAATAATACTGCTATTTCAGATGAGGTAGGTTTATTGCGATAACGTACGTCAAAACTTGGAGTAGATTTTAAGTTTAAGGATATGTTAGGAACGCCAGTAGCGATCATAGAAGATACTCTCAAAAATTGAGAAGCAAAGGGGTTGTAGGTGTGAACAATATCCTGCAATTCCATTAAAAGACAACGATCTAAAAACGGAACCTGGTTATGTCTGTTTTCTATCTCATTTATACTATCATGTATATATAATTGGGCAAATTTAGGAGTTTCCCCTAATGTTGGTAGGAGTGAACCAATGCGATGATGAACCTGTCCATTAATTTGAAAGGTATAATTACCTGATCGCGAATTGGATAAATTATTATTTATATTAACTCCTAGTGAAGTGAATGACAGTGCGGAATTATAAGCTCTTATGTTTGTTAAAAAGTGGGATGATGAACAATGATTCCCGGTAAATAAACGTAATAAATTTGGTGGTAATTGGGAAATTTTAGATAAAAATACCTTCCCATTCAAACAACATGTAGAAAACTGAATATTTCTACATGAGCTTTTTGATAATTTTTCTCCATTCCACATTTTAGCATTGCAGAAGGCGCATATTTCTGTCATATTTCCGATATCTAATATAGGTGAGTGGTGGTCATCAAATATATGTCGAAATATACATGGTAGAGGTGCCATAGGGAATGTGGTAGTGGTTATAGAAATATCAGTTGACGGTATCTGGGTGATTATAAAATAAACCTATACATATATAACATTAAAAACCTGCAAGGGAGTTAATATCAGGCGTAGGTCCTTATTATCCTGCATACCTGTAATTCTAGAACGGGTAAGGCGTTTGTTGAGTCGCCATTTTTTTCTTTGCTTATCTTTAATAGAAATATCATGTTTTGTAGCGTGAGGGATTAAGTTTGGGTTAACCTAAAATAAATAAAGAAATCAGGCATAAATATAAAACATTATTATTGAAATAAAACGAACATTAAAATACTGTACTGAACCTGTAAAGGGGTCAATATATGCAAATCTCTAGTAGTTGGGAGGCTATCATCAAAAAATAAAATTTGTCTAGTTGGGGACTTGTCAAGACTATCGTGTTTTTCTGAACATTTATTTTGTATTTGTTGATTATTAATGGTAGATATATCATTATTTAAACAATTATAAGGAGGAAATAAAGAAGGGTTTGTTATCTAAAATAAAAACAGAAGAATAATTAAAAAATATAAATGCATTGAACCTGAAAAGGAGTCAATATAAGGTTCAACTCCCTAGAAATAGTGGGGACATTATCAGAAGCTAAAATAGATGTATTCTATAATATAAAAGAGTATAAAAATATATATATATAAGGCTAACCTTATTTTGAGTTGTTAGTAGATTTTGTAGGGACTCGCTATCCCTAGTGCGTTTCTTTTTTTGATTGATCTGCCATCTTTTTCTTTTATTAATGATGGATAAATCACCACCTGTACAATCATTAACTGAGGTTAGGGCATGGCTTGTTATCTAAAATAGAAACAAAAGAATAAATAAAAAAATAAATGCATTGAACTTGATGAGGAGTCAATATACCACCTGTACAATCATTAAATATGGGTAAGACAGGGCTTGTTATCTAAAATAAAAACAAAGAATAATATAAAGAATATAAATGCAATGAACCTGAAGAGGAGTCAATATTAGGTTCAACTCCCTAGAAATAGTTGGGCCATTATCAGAAGCTAAAATAGATGTATTCTATAATATAAAAGAGTATAAAAAAAATATATATATAATGCTAACTTTATTTTGAGTTGTTAGTAGATTTTGTAGGGCCTCGCTATCCCTAGTGCGTTTCTTTTTTTGATTGATCTGCCATCTTTTTCTTTTATTAATGAAGGATAAATCACCACCTGTACAATCATTAACTGAGGTTAGGACATGGCTTGTTATCTAAAATAGAAACAAAGAATAATATAAAGAATATAAATGCAATGAACATGATCTAAAATAAAAACAAAAGAATAAATAAAAAATAGAGTCAATATTAGGTTAACCTCTCTAGAAATAGTGGGAATACAATCATTAACTGAGGTTAGGACATGGCTTGTTATCTAAAATAGAAACAAAAGAATAAATAAAAAAAATAAATGCATTGAACTTGATGAGGAGTCAATATACCACCTGTACAATCATTAAATATGGGTAAGACAGGGCTTGTTATCTAAAATAAAAATAAAGAATAATATAAAGAATATAAATGCAATGAACATGATTTAAAATAAAAACAAAAGAATAAATAAAAAATAGAGTCAATATTAGGTTAACCTCTCTAGAAATAGTGGGAATACAATCATTAACTGAGGTTAGGACATGGCTTGTTATCTAAAATAGAAATAAAAGAATAAATAAAATAAATAAATGCATTGAACTTGATGAGGAATCAATATACCACCTGTACAATCATTAAATATGGGTAAGACAGGGCTTGTTATCTAAAATAAAAACAAAGAATAATATAAAGGATATAAATGCAATGAACATGATCTAATATAAAAACAAAAGAATAAATAAAAAATAGAATCAATATTAGGTTAACCTCTCTAGAAATAGTGGGAATACAATCATTAACTGAGGTTAGGACAGGGCTTGTTATCTAAAATAGAAACAAAAGAATAAATAAATAAACTAAATGCATTGAACTTGATGAGGAGTCAATATACCACCTGTACAATCATTAAATATGGGTAAGACAGGGCTTGTTATCTAAAATAAAAACAAAGAATAATATAAAGAATATAAATGCAATGAACATGATCTAAAATAAAAACAAAAGAATAAATAAAAAATAGAGTCAATATTAGGTTAACCTCTCTAGAAATAGTGGGAATACAATCATTAACTGAGGTTAGGACATGGCTTGTTATCTAAAATAGAAATAAAAGAATAAATAAAATAAATAAATGCATTGAACTTGATGAGGAGTCAATATACCACTTGTACAATCATTAAATATGGGTAAGACATGGCTTGTTATCTAAAATAGAAACAAAAGAATAAATATAAAAAATAAATGCATTGAACTTGATGAGGAATCAATATACCACCTGTACAATCATTAAATATGGGTAAGACAGGGCTTGTTATCTAAAATAAAAACAAAGAATAATATAAAGAATATAAATGCAATGAATATGATATAAAACAAAAACAAAAGAATAAATAAAAAATAGAGTCAATATTAGGTTAACCTCTCTAGAAATAGAGGGAATACAATCATTAACTGAGGTTAGGACATGGCTTGTTATCTAAAATAGAAACAAAAGAATAAATAAATAAACTAAATGCATTGAACTTGATGAGGAGTCAATATACCACCTGTACAATCATTAAATATGGGTAAGACATGGCTTGTTATCTAAAATAGAAATAAAAGAATAAATAAAATAAATAAATGCATTGAACTTGATGAGGAATCAATATACCACCTGTACAATCATTAAATATGGGTAAGACAGGGCTTGTTATCTAAAATAAAAACAAAGAATAATATAAAGGATATAAATGCAATGAACATGATCTAATATAAAAACAAAAGAATAAATAAAAAATAGAATCAATATTAGGTTAACCTCTCTAGAAATAGTGGGAATACAATCATTAACTGAGGTTAGGACAGGGCTTGTTATCTAAAATAGAAACAAATAAATAAATAAATATACTAAATGCATTGAACTTGATGAGGAGTCAATATACCACCTGTACAATCATTAAATATGGGTAAGACAGGGCTTGTTATCTAAAATAAAAACAAAGAATAATATAAAGAATATAAATGCAATGAACATGTAAAATAAAAACAAAAGAATAAATAAAAAATAAGTCAATATTAGGTTAACCTCTCTAGAAATAGTGGGAATACAATCATTAACTGAGGTTAGGACATGGCTTGTTATCTAAAATAGAAATAAAAGAATAAATAAAATAAATAAATGCATTGAACTTGATGAGGAGTCAATATACCACTTGTACAATCATTAAATATGGGTAAGACATGGCTTGTTATCTAAAATAGAAACAAAAGAATAAATATAAAAAATAAATGCATTGAACTTGATGAGGAATCAATATACCACCTGTACAATCATTAAATATGGGTAAGACAGGGCTTGTTATCTAAAATAAAAACAAAGAATAATATAAAGAATATAAATGCAATGAACATGATATAAAATAAAAACAAAAGAATAAATAAAAAATAGAGTCAATATTAGGTTAACCTCTCTAGAAATAGTGGGAATACAATCATTAACTGAGGTTAGGACATGGCTTGTTATCTAAAATAGAAACAAAAGAATAAATAAATAAACTAAATGCATTGAACTTGATGAGGAATCAATATACCACCTGTACAATCATTAAATATGGGTAAGACAGGGCTTGTTATCTAAAATAAAAACAAAGAATAATATAAAGGATATAAATGCAATGAACATGATCTAAAATAAAAACAAAAGAATAAATAAAAAATAAGTCAATATTAGGTTAACCTCTCTAGAAATAGTGGGAATATCATCCATCATAAGCTTATGATCATAAAAAATGAACAAATAAATTACTTCTTCTGATTTCAGGAATTCAAATAAAATGATAATCTCTAAAAATTGGTATCTGGCACTCCGATTTCAGTCAAGGAAAATGATAGTCTCATAAAAAACCAACAAATAAATTACTTCTTCTGATTTCAGAATTTGGTATGAACATCTGTTTAAAAAAATATAACAAATAAAAAATAAATAAATAAATACGTACCGATGACATGACGTAACGATGACATGACGTAGCGATGACATGACGTAGCGATGACATGACGTCACGATGACGTAGTGAGGACATCGGAAAATTATAATATAGATAACTGGCATCATTATTTTTAAAATAATTGACATAAATATGTGAAATTTTCTTTTATTTTAAATTTCTTTTCCATGATATAAAATGTTTTTAAGATAAATCTAAGATATTTATAATTATTTTCTAAAATATTTAAGAAAAATCTTAGACCTATTTATCAAAATCGCTTATTTTTTATTAACGAATGGCAACATATCATTTTCAAATACCAATATATAGGCTTTATTTGAATATACATAACACGTTAATTATAAATGAGGCTTGATAAAAAAATAGAAAATCAATAGAATCAATTACCCTAGAGCTTGTAGATAAAAGATTCAAGATAGATAAAGAAATAGTTATATTGAATAATAATGATATGGAAATACTTCGGAAGAAAAAAAGAAAAAGATTTTGATATTTAATTAAAGTGTAAAATTGGGAAAAAAATTATGAGAATTTAAAAGGTGTTAAAAAAGAAGAATTTGAACAAAAAAAATAATAAATAAGTACCGATGACATAATGTTACGATGACATGACGTCACAAATGACGTAGTGATGACATCGGAAAATTAAAATATAGATATACGATATTGTATTTATTTGTGAAACAATAGGAGCTAAATGTGTAGCTCGATCTGGAGATATGTATGAAATTCAATCTAAAGATATCTCAAAAGGTAATAATTTTTTTAATATAATTAAAAATAAAATTAGATATAGGTAGACATGTGCGCCGCCGGTCAAATGCGCCGCCGCCGGTGATTTTGACCACGCCAACGCCGCGCGCCAAAAAAGTGTCGGCGACATATTTTTTATTATTAATTTATTTTATATATTATTTATGAATTGTAATTAGAAGAAAAATATTAAATATTTTTTGAATTATTAAAAAATCGATTTTATTTTTTAAAATTAATATTATTTGTTATAAATTTGATTTGCAACAATCCATATTGCTCACTTTGTCCAGGTTTGCGACCAACGTGCTAGATAAAATAAGATTAGGACATTAAATTTGAAAAGGTGATTCTATATTTTATTCTTTTAATTTTTGATGCTTCAAATAATTTACAACTCGTTATATAAAATTTATTTTTTATCATAATAGGAAATTTTAATTAATGATTTTTATTTTGTTGCCATTAAAATACCAGGACTAAAACAATTATAATGGATGCAGCATTGCAATACCCTGTAACAAAATATAGTATATTTTTGCAAGCAAAGCCTATTTTTGCATGGAAACATTTTGGATCCTTAATATTAAAAACTGACACAAATAATAAGAGAAGCAGTGTTGCTACACATAAAGTCTTTTGTGATATGCTTGCAAATAGCACTTGATAAAGATGGTGATGATGAAAATAATTATTCATTTTCATAGTATATTTTTTAATTATTTTAAAAATATTTGTAAATTTTTAATTAGTTATCCAATCAAATCTTTTTCAAAAAATATCAGCACATTAAATATAATAAAACATTTACTTGACAAACATGATTTATCATGAGAAGATATATCTTAACAAAATTTAAAGTTATTTTTCAAACCCATTGTAAAAGATACAATTGACCCTATAAAAGATAAAAAAATGGATTATGGTCAGGAATTATGTTCTCATGTGTTGCAAGAATTTAATGCCATTCTCTTCTATAAATAATACTGGAATGCAAGTTGTCATTATAATTTTTTAGGGCAATTTTAATTTTTATTTTAAATGTTAAGATATTTAATTATTTATTTTTTGGCATAATATTTTTATTATCAACTTTTTATTATATAGAAATATGGCATTATTTCATGCTATAACTTTTGATATGTGGACCGACAAATATAAACGGCAAAATTATATCCCCTTTACATTTCACGAAATAGATAATAATTTTAATATTGTATTTTATACATTGGCGACACAACCGCTAAAACTATTTTTTCCGAGATAGAAAAAGTTGAAAATGAATTCGATTTAGGGTCCAAGAAAATTCAAATGGTTACGGATGCAGGACCCATTGTAAAGATAAGTGTTTGTCTAGGAGAATATGACCATCATTTATGTTTGGGCATGGATTACATAATCTAGTGACAGTCGATGGAATAAAAAATGTTAATAAAATAGAAAATCTCATTAAAAAACTGAGAGAAGTCATAGTTGCCTTAAGATTCAAAACAGCGAATTTTGAAAATATAAACGATATAGAAAATAGAAAATGTTTTGAATCGATATCATATACATCGGATATTTTAGATTTAGATGATAATGATCCTTTTTATGAAGATCGTTTGGGGTTTGATGATGATAGTGAAAATCAAAAATCATATGAGAAAAAACATAAAACCTTAAAATTAAATGTGCCTACACGTTGGCATAGTATTTTAATAATGCTGGAAAGTGTGACTGGCAATAACAAAATTGGATCTTCCTAAACTTTCAATATTAGCTAGAAAGGTCCTGTGCGTTCCAGCTATGAGCACACCCAGTGAGCGTGCCTTTTCTATAGCTGGATTCACTCTGATCTCTAAAATATCATTATTATGTCTTTTAAATCTTAATAAAATAATATTTATTCATGATAATTTAATTTAATAAAATCATTAAATTATAGTTATTAACATAATAAAGTATAAATTTTATTTTAAAAGTGTTTCCAATAAATTTATAAATGTAATTAAAAAAATTTAAGTTAGAAAAATAGTTGACACCGCCGCCGATTTTTGTGGCGGCGTCTAAATCGATTCGCTGCTGCCAGCCGATCATTTTAAAAAAGAAACGCCGCTGCCGAAAATGCTCTCGGCGCACATGTCTAGTTATATCATATAAAATCAAATAATTAATATTAAAATCAAATGTCGTTTTAAATTGGAACCTGAAGATTTTGACAATATAATACTTTTTGGCCACATTTTACACTTCGTAAGCATTGGATTAGTTCCTTCAATATAGGATGTTAATGTAAAACATTTATCATATTTGGCCATAGTAATGATAATTCTTCTGATTTTGGATTTTCAGAATCAGATAATGAGGATTAAATAATAATATCATGCTTATGCTAATCTATTAAATTAAAATATAAACAATAATATTCAAATTAATAAACTATGTGTTAAAAAAATTGAAATATGAAAAGGAAATACACAGACGATTAAAAAATATAAATAATACATTTTTAAAAAAAATTCGGAAATATTAAATTTTCCAAATAAATAAAAATAAAATTATTTTAAAAATTGAACGAACGTTAAATTCAAACGCGTTCGTCATAAAAAAAGAAAAGCTTTCACGTTCAAAGTTCGTTAAAAATAAAAGGAACGCCGTTCATCATTTTTTTCAAAAGAACGAACTTTCACGAACGATGTTTCAATGTCAGATTTGTCTAACTCTTTGCCTATCTTTATAATGTCATCTAAAATGAGTAAATCTTTACTTCTGTATTTAATTTCGTTAGATAAGCTTGATATCTTTATTTTTTCTAAAACCCTGTCCTATCCTATAAAGTTGTAGTCCATATTGAGCTGACAAATACGGTTAACCCATTCTAAAAAACTTACGCTCTCTTTTTAAACTGCTGCATTGTATTCACTAATTATTTTTGTTTCGAATCTTGGCAGGCTGTAATAATCTAAGTTTGTTGATAAGTGTCGACGATTTTGAGATGGGATTCAGTGCATATCGATTGTAGTTTAGAAAATATGTCATCTGGCAAATTATGTAGTAAGTTCGTGGCGTTATCGTCATCTGTGCTGTTATTTTTTTTAAAAATAATTTCAATTTTGGTTAAATATGTATCAATGTTTCCTATATATTTAGGAAATTCGCATTTATATGATATAGTATCATTAGAAGTGGGTTTTTTTTATCGTCCATCATATTTAATTAATTGTAAAAAAAAAATTTATTCTTGTTTTTTTATACAATTTAATTATTTTATTTTTAGAAATGTGAAATAATTAATATGAAATTCATCTTTATATTTTAATAAAATTTTAATTTACAAAGAAATTTACAAAGATAGTCGCTGCCACCATATTAAGGTTGGCAGGGAATTAGACAAGATTAAAAAAGTAGTTTTAAAATTTTTATTTATTAAATTTATTTAAAAAATATTTAACTAAAAATACAATATACTTTTGCTCTATATATAGTTTATAAAATCAATTTATATAAAAAAAATTTATTAAATAATTTATATCAAACTATTGAGTTATTATAAAATGAGTCCGTGAGGTTAATATTAAAGAATAAAAAAAAATCAATCTTTAAGGTTAATATTGAGTTAATAGATAGCAAAAAATAAATATTAAAAAAAATCAATCAGGACGTCAGAACAATTTATAAAATATTATAATAATTAAACATCATATTATTCATCCCACAATGGATGTAATAAATAGATATATTTTCTTCTCTTTTTTACGTGTTTTTAGTAAAGGTATTTTTTTCTTCTTTGAAAAACAGTTTTGAGTTAAATTTTTAATACGAATATATTTTAGATATAATTACAAACTACTATTATTTTAAGATATAATACACCAACTTGAGATGGTGCGACAATAATATATAAAATTTTAATTGCTTTCATGATATCACTCTGGTTCTTATTTTATAGTTACAGAATGTTTCATTTCTAATATGTCCTCCTTGCCGTGTAAATAATTCAAGGCTTCAATATATATGCATA